AGTTTGGGAATTTACTCGTTTGATCTTTGCTGACCATTTTTGGTGGAGATCTAGATTTGTTGATGCTGATGATATTCGAAGAAACTATTTCTGCTTGACTCCTTTCAACAAGTATTTAAGCATCAGTAAACATGACGTCACCTTACAAATTGCACACTACACTTTGATTCACCATGCTGTAACTCACTACAAGCTCTTATCAAATAGGTTTTACAAGTCATCTCTGACAAAATGTCAAAAATACGCAAGCGTTCGTCTGAAATACAAACAATAATTGTGTATTGGAGGGAGATTTTTTTCTCATCTAAAAAGAGTTGGATAAAATATTTAAAAACATGAAAACAATACATGTTTAATACACTAATTAATTATTATTTTACTCACGTGTTGTTCGCGCATGTACATTTCAAGATTTTTTTTGTTTGTTTTGAATTTCGCGCAAAGCTACACGAATGCTATCTGCGCTAGCCGTCCCTAATTTAGCAGTGTAAGACTAGAGGGAAGGCAGCTAGTCATCACCACCCACCGCCAACTCTTGGGCTACTCTTTTACCAACGAATAGTTGGATTGACCGTCACATTATAACGCTCCCACGGCTGAGAGAGCGAGCATGTTTGGCGGAACGGGGATTCGAACCCGCGACCCTCAGATTGCGAGTCGAGCGCCCCAACCACCTGGCCATGTCGGGCAATACGTTTCAAGATAACTTAGGCTACTTTTAACTGGTATAAATTAAACACATGCAAATATGTACAGTGGTATTGTCAGCTAATCTTTCCTGTCAAGTTTACCTACTTTTTATTTTTATTTATAAGCCTGTAGCTGACATTGTACTTATCTTGCACGCCTTATGCAATCTGCAAACATTTTTGTTTGTATCTAAAGGTTCAGGTGCTAAATCTCTGAACCTTGTAAGGTAGTTGTAACAATAAGAAACATGATAACACACCATCATGAAAATCTTCCACTTTCCATTGTAGACAACTGTACATTATCAATTGTACTAGGTTAAGTTTTTGAAATTTACTGGAAAATGGAGAATTGCATCTGCTTACAATACGCATTCTTCATTTACTTTATTATTTCACGATAAGCTATGAAACATTCCAAATCTGATGGACAACCAGAGAATGAAATTTTCTAGTCACGCTACATATTCTCTGTGCGTTAATTGTAGGTCTAATTCTTATGTTCAAGTTCTCTTCTTTGGACAGTTATTGTTTGTTTGTTTGTTTAGAATTTCGCGCAAAGCTACACGGAGGGTTATCTGCACTAGCCGTCCCTAATTTAGCAGTGTAATACTAGAGGGAAGGCAGCTAGTCATCACCACCCACTGCCAACTCTTGGGCTACTCTTTTACCAACGAATAGTGGGATTGACCGTCACATTATAACGCCCCAGGGCGAGCATGTTTGGTGTGACAGGGATTCGAACCCGCGACCCTCAGATTGCGAGTCGAGTGCCTTAACCACCTGGCCATGAAGTTGGAAGGTAACGGGCCAAAGTATGAAGTAGGTATATCTCCCCTACACTGTGTGCATGTTGTTTTATAGAAAATTTAATAGTTGTTTTTTATTTTAGGTGTAATAACTTGGCGCCATCTATGACGTTAACTTACACCAAAGATAATAGATGCTCAATAACAGCAATAATGAGGAGTGAGAGGTTGAGAACCCGCTATTAACATGCCCCTTATTCCAAACTACTATCCCACAAAGTTTGGTTGAGGTTGACCCAGTAACTTAGAAATAGTTAGACAACGGACAAACAGAAAGTGGGTTTAGACGTTTGAGATCGGTCCTGTTAGTAAGTTTAAGTAGTAACATTCAGATTATGTGACACTTGCGAAACAGTGCTTCTCCTGAATGAAGTGGATTCTTTCGTTTGAATATGTGTTTCAAGTGTTTGGACTATAAAACAATAACTTTTTAAATATGTACATATTAAAACAGGGAATGAATACTAAAATCGTGTATAACTATAGTTTATACGTTGATAATTATTATTTTGTGTTTAAAATGACTGTCGTTGAACGGTTTGCTTGTTCGTTGTCAAGCATAAAGATACACAATAGGCTACCTGTGCTGTGCCTACAATGGGTATCGAAACCAGACTTCTAGCATTATAAGCTCCGACACTTACTCCTGAGCTACAGGGTGGGGGCATGTTTATCGGTATAAATGTACAAGTTGTGTATCTATCCACAAATTCTGATCAAAACAAGGTAATTACTTAAACCAGAACTAAACAATAGTTTGAGAAATAATATGTCGAATATCATAAAACAAATCGTAAGGAAATAAAAACTTATAATGACTAGAAGCTATTGAGGCCTCGCTGTTTTCGGTATTTTCAAAAACTTGTTTTACTGATTGTTCGCAAACACCCTCCTCTCCCCCTCCGTTAGCTCAGCGGTAAGTCTAAGGGATTATAGTACTAAAAATTAAAAATTTGGTAGAGCACTTTGTTGTGCTTAACAACACACACAAAAACAGGAGTAATTAAATGAATAATCTGTATTATAATATATTTAACGGAAAAACATTGTTAAGTTTACCATTTTTTACTAGTTTCAACAGAGTACTTGAAACTTTCGAAATCAGATTCTCCCACCTCCATCTTGCTCTCTTCCCATATATATATATATATACACACATATAAGTTTATAAATACATTGCTACTACAAACAATGTTTAATGCGTGAGAAAATGTAGGCTGTTTAGATTGCAGCTATACAGGCTTTGAAAGCTTGTATGGGTTTGTATTTATTTGTGTATCGATGTGAGGCTCAAAGACAATACTGGCAGAAGATAGATGAGAGTGACCACATTATACACGTTTAATCTCGATGACAGGCGCTTCAATCATGAAAAGCCCTTGGAAACCCATACATATTGTTCTTGTCGGGAAGGGATTTTGAGAACAAAATTCCTGACAGACTACTTCAGCCCATGAATTCATTTTTTTAGACGAACTAAACAGGGAGAGATGCCTGTATTTTTTATCCAATCCCATATATATATATATATTCTCTGTGTGAGCATTTCTTTGTTTTAACTATCAGGATACCATTACATGATACACAGCCAAGTTGCCATCAAAGATTTAATTCCTTTAGTCACGTGATGTACCCAAATCAACAAGTACTAATACACGATTTTCCGATTGAAACTTGGATAATTACACATAAAGTTTAATCTATAAGTAAATTAAGCGTCAGTACCCTAGAGCTTTAAACGTCGAGCGATAAAAGATCAACTTCAATTTGGTTTGCCAAGTATTTTTCCACTATTTCTGTCCAACATATTTCTGAATTATCAAAATAAACTGACGTGTTATAGGCCACTATATCCTATATCAAATATTATGGGTCATTCTATACCTTATATCGCACATTAGGGGTCACTCTATATTCTCCATCACATGTTATGAGTCATTCTGTAATAAAATAATCACTAAGAATTTATTTAGTTTCACTATGAAATAACTTGACTAATGGAATACTTGCTAAGTAATACAATATATGATTTGCTTAGAAATCACAAGATTTTAGCACATTTATAGTTATTTTTTACTTGGCAAAAGTGACATTTACGTAACCTTCCATAGCTTCATAATGTAAAGGAATATTGAAAGGCGTTAATTTCATCGTTTTATTTCGTCGCAAAATTTGCGGAACGTGTATATCTCCATTTCTTTGTCCCCGCTAATACATCTAGATAGTTTTGTGAACATGTATTTTTCCTTACACTAGTAATCCAATTTCCGAAGAAATGTTGCATACATCGACCGAAATTAAGGAAGCCGCCTCATTAAAGCCGCACTATGTCTAGTACGTCAGAAGTATCTTGTGGCCGCGAGGGATGCTGTATTTATTCTTATTTACTGTCTCATGTATTGACAACACATATCACCGAACTGTACGAGATGTGTCGCAGCATACAGACTGAATTACTTTGTACATCAAATCACGCAAAAACCTAAAAAGAAGTTTTCACTATACCGAGCTCGTTAACTTAAAGACACGCTCTATTCGTGCAGCACTCACACCCATTAGTGAAATTTTCCTTAGAGACGTACAGGTACTCATCTTTGCCAGGACTTGGCCTCACAGTACGTGGAGTTACCAAGTTTTCTGCAGGTTAACGGTAACTATTCATGCACTATTCAAATAGAACTTTAAAAAATAACGGAACTCGTTACTGGTTTTCAGAAGAAGAAGAAAGAAGCAGTTTTCCACTTCAAATTAAAAAAAAAAGAACCGGTACTGACTTATGGTGAGTACAAGCAGAATTTCACCCCCTTCACACGCCTATTTTTATGTAGATCTGTGAATCAAATATTTGTTCCACAACCATCATATGTGGATACTTAATAACTAGTATTTTGACTTTAAAAAATAGAATAACACGAGTCAACTTATAAAATATATAAAGTTCACAATACTGTTAATATACTCATTATCTATAGATACATGGGGGTGGGAGCCTCATTTAGGATGCGGAATATTATTGCTGAGAAAATGTGGGAATTCTTGCTGTAATGCACTCATGTCTAGGAACATTCTTAATACAAGTTTCTTGTTACTATTAGGATATTTCACTAAACACAAAGGCTGAAGCACGTTTACTGTTCTCGTTATATTAGCATAAGGACACACTTTGATAGGGTTAAACCTACCACGCCAACAAGCATTGTGCTTTTTGTTAAATCGGTCAAAACAAACAAAACAGTGAACTGTTTGGATTACTTGGTAACATTTTTTTTTTTTTGTAAATAAGTAACCATATTTACTGGATCAAGGAAATTGATTTATTTGTGTATTTCCATTTGGTGTTATCTAAAAGTAAGAGCTATTTAATTTAAATTTTCTTTTACAGTCTAGAATAAACATCTATCGTGTATTGATATCACTTAATAAAAATATTTAAATTATTCAAAATCTTTACATGTATACAAGAAGTAAACATCTTTAATTATTATCGTTATTGTTTTTCTAGATGTCGAGACAACACATATTTAGACGACCTGCCCCAGACCAGTGTGATAGTGTGTTTCCACAATGAAGCTTGGAGCGTCCTCTTGCGGACAGTCCACAGTATCCTGAACAGATCTCCTCCGCATTTACTTAAAGAGGTGATTTTGGTGGATGACTTCTCCGATATACGTGAGTCAAACGCAGATTTTACAAATGACTTTAACCGTTTGGTAATAAAATACTTGCATAATTGTTCACTGAAGGTCTCACAAAGGACATTTAACTGTTTGGTAATAAAATACTTGCAGAATATTTCACTGACTGATTTGTCATTTCTGGGCCTTTTTTCAATTACTTTTGAGTCTTCTGCATACAGTATAATAACATTTATGGGTATTAAGTTATGAATAACGAGATGTTGAAAAATTATATGTGTTTAGGTGGTGACGCAGTCAAGTCACACGGGAATAGTCTGTATAAATATGATTAGTCATTTTTAGTACATACACAAACATAAGTTTGTTTGTTTGTTTTGAATTTCGCGCAAAGCTATACGAGGGCAACCTGCGCAACCGTCCCTAATTTAGCAGTGTAAGACTAGAGGGAAAGCAGCTAGTCATCACCACCCACCGCCAACTTTTCAATTGTATTTAGCGCAGAGCTGCACAATGGGTTATCCGTACTGTGTTCAGTTCAGGGATCGAACCCAAAGTTTAGTATCATAGTTCCCAATGATTATCGTTGAGCCACCGAAGACTTCAGAGTTATTATAGTTTAGAATGAGATACCATATTATCTGGAGAAACGCGTAATTACACGAAGATAGCCATATGTCACTTAGCAGGAAATACATTTGTCAAACGCTTTATGCACAAGTTCTTTTCAAAACCTTTTACTGCACCTTCAGTAAACAGCCCTGGATCCCTAGAGTTTAAACTAGTTTGCTTAATATGATTGACTGGACGAACCCATGTGCACCAGTACTGGCTTTGTGTAAATATGATGCTCGTTATTATTTCCTTCCTATTCTTAATCTTACGTGTTGCATATTAGTCTAATTTTTTAAAAAATATATTCGGATGTAAATTAATACAAAAATACTTTATTTTCTACAAATACCTATTTTTAAATTATAAAGAGTGCCAAGTGCCTTTTTATTACTACATTTTGAGTCGAAATGTTTATCTAATCTGACTGAAATTAAACGCAAGCTGATTGCTAAAATGCATTTCTTGTTTCAACCCTCGCGAGACATGTGAGAGAGAACGAATTGCATATGTTATGTTAATTTGTTTTTCTAATAACGCATTCACGCAGTAACAGAGATCGTTATCGAAACGGTTAAGAAGTAAATAGAAACACTCTAATCTGCTACTGCTGTTGGTTCTCTTTATATGGCCAAAATATATAGACTTTCGACATAAAATACTCAAATTTTTCTTTACTGTAATCGTACAAGTATAAAAGTTTCAATTATGTGTCTAGTGAAGATCGAAAGGTCCAGGGTTCGAGATGCGATTGCACGCTGAACCCGCTCCGCTATTTCAGTATGCTGACGTTACACTTGAGACACATAATCGCGCTATTATATTAGGAGAAGCCACGTAATCGACAGGTAATGCTGATTGATTAGTTTCCTTTGATCGGCAGGTTTTCACTAAGAATGACTGTACCTGAACAATGGGAATTATTGACCTGACCATTCAGCCCATGTGTGTTTCATAAGGTGTGTTTCTAATTAATACTCCTAGTCATTATTAAGTGAAAAGTTTTACTTTCGTAGTAATATGTACCTTAGTATTAGAATCGTCGTCAAAAACGGGGCGAGCTATGTTTTACATTAGTTAAATTGTTTACCTTTTTCTTATTTCTAGCTGAGAACTTCTGATAAAACCCCAAATAGGCGGTAATGAATTAGAAAATATGCAAAAAAGTAAAGTCATATATTAACACTTGCGTAAGGAAGCACATTATGCTAATATCATACTAAGTTGGCAAACAACGATTTATAAGCACAATGAAGTGGTTAATTTTTTGGGAAAGGGACTGTCGAAATATGTAGTATGTTTCCCCCACAAAAATCACTTCATTATGCTTATAAGTCGTTGTTTGCCAACGTATTACCATATGGGAACATTTTTATACAGTTAGTTATTACCTGTATTAGCATAAACACCAAACGCAACGTTCATAAGAAGCAGAATCTCATTTTACCAAACAGTGAGCGAAACGTTTTGGGTTTGTTAGTGTTATTTGAAGGTTAGAATATAATCAGAGGCATAAATCAAAGTTTATTGTTTTTTAACTTCATATTTAATAGCATTAAGCCAGGCTTCGAGTCAAACCTTATATTACTGAACAATTTATATTTCTATCAATTCGGTTGATTCAGTTCTATTAAGATGGTCAACATTTTACATAATGATTTGCCTCAACTAAAAATGTCTCCTTTATCGGCCGTAGATCTACAGGTGTGATGTATGACAATTCGTTACACCGTTTCGAAATGGAGTCTGTTTACATCACTAAAACTCGATGTTCTGCCACAACAACATTTTTACAGGGGTGGCATCTCAAAAATGTCAAAGTTCACAGTTTCCCTTCATCATCATGTATTATAAAATCAGTTTATGACTTTTCAAATGTAGTTAAAAAACGAGTGACTTTTTTTATTAAACGCAGTCTGGATTGCTAAGATGCAACTTTTGTTTCAAGTCTTGTGCGGCATGTTGAGAGAGTCAATTACACATATAATGCTAATTTTTTCCCTCTTAAAGCATACGCGTATATACGCATATATATGTATGTACGTTTGTTTGTTTTGTTTTTAAACGCAAAACTACAAAATGGGTTATCTATGCTGTGCCCGCCCATCACGTGTGTTGAAAGCCGGTTTTTAGCGTTATAAGCCTTCAGACTTACTGCTGAGCCACCGACGTGATATAGATATCTGAAGGCTTATAACGCTAAAAACCGGCTTTCAACACACGTGGTGGGCGGGCACAGCATAGATAACCCATTGTGTAGTGTGTGTGTTTGTATATAATGTTATGTTGCACTTTATAAATGATCTTGTCGATCAGATTTTTAAAGCAGTCGTTGAATTTGTAAATAAAATGTTTTCACTTCTAATTATCATGAACTCTAAACCTATCTTAATTGATGATGTAAAATTTTATACTTTACAAAAGTGATTGATGTCAGTTTGGAATAATTGTAATCGAAAAGAAAATTCTAACTGTAAAATAATAATAGTAACAAACATACACAGCGTGTAAGTATATAGCTTTACTTAATTTTCAGTGATTTATTGAAAGTTTATTTTTTAAATATCCATCTTATTGTATTGACTAAATTCTGTATATTTTATCTAATTATAGCTGCTTGTTAAAAATGCAAATATGATTTTTAAACTGTAGTTAAAAAATCGTAAGGTAAAATATTTGTTTATTCGATCTTTCCTCATTGTTAAAAATGTTTAAGAGTTAAAATTCTGTATGTAGAGGCGATTGAATCCCATTTTCAGGAATGGAAATTAGGCCTTTTGACGTGTTTTTCTCTCTTAGTTTTATAAGGAGTATATAAATGTACTGAAAGTTTTAAGTGAGTTTAATGAGTTATTATAACAGTGTTACGAATATGTCCATGCTACAAACCACTATTCCTGTTCTTCTGTTTTCGAGAACCACGTCCTTACGATATACAATATTCATACTGTTTTGTTTGTGCTATGATAGACTTTAAACTTCCTAAAGGAAGAAATATGAACGAGGTCCTAGCCCCTAATATACTTTCCAACGGGAAATAATTCAAGAGGGTTGCTAGCCTAAAAGCTACTTGTCCCTCGATGAATCAGCGGTAAGTTCGAGAACTTACAAGGCCAAAATACGGGGTTCGATTCCTGCAGTGGACATAGCAGATAACCCAATGAGGCTTTGCTCTTAAACAAATAATCCAAAGCTAAGTTACCATAGGCACTTACCTTTGACAACTGTTACATGACAACTATGCAGTGGTATTTTCAATTGTGTTTATTTGTCGTACAGTAAGTAGATGTAAGGTAATGAGAACTTCAGCTAATATATTTCTTTCAATTGTGAAACTTGCTGAGTTGTGTTTGTGTGTGTATGTGTGGCAGCAAATTTAATAACTGAATTGATTACATATATAAGCCTACGGCTCACTGAACGTTGTATCTTTACGGTGGTGCCACCTTGTTGACTTCCCAGCGTTACTTGGATAGTAACAAACAGTTTATTTTGGATAAACCAGTGAAATGCCTTAGTTAGCAGAATTTTGAGGTTTTATTTTTTTTCTTACATAGGTGGTCTGAAAATCATAAATAAAGATTAAGTTTGTCTTAGACTTCTGGAGGTAAACTGTGCCAGGCGTAGCCAGTTGTTTAGAGTGTGAGGCTAGAGATCATAAGGTCCAAGGTTCTAGTCAAAATATGCTGCTGAATACTTTCGACACTTTCAGCTGGTGGAGGGGGTATAATGTTATAAGCATAGTCTCTTAAACGGCGTGTGCTTTTAGTTTGTTGCCCTCCTAGTGGTCAATTGTTTTAAGTTATGGAGAGCTAAGCTTAAACCAGAGGGGTATCTGACCTAGCCCTTTAATCCATTCGTCACATGAGGTTGAATGAAAATGACAAATACCTTCTTTGAAACACAAAACAGCCTCAGAATTTTGCATTTAACTTGTTTTTCACTTTTCTCCAAGCTAGATAAATAAAACAAAGTAGCTAAGTGTGATTCTCCAGTACCTTGTCACTCCTCTTATAAAAAAAAATTAATAAACTGTTATTGCTACTTTGCGGGTATTGAATCATTACAAGTGACAACATTATATTTCGTACATGTCCGAGTAGAACCACAAACAGTTCACACAGTGTTAGACTCGAGGGTTGACGGGGTAGATGCTGTTTAAAAAAAAACACGTAATTTTTCATATTTCTGTCTGATTTGTTTTCTGTCATGAACAGTTGTGTTGGATAGTTTAAATTCTGCTACTTTATTTCCGTATTGTGTAATCTTGTATAGTCTATTCACTACTTTCTGTGGGAGTCTAAATCTGGTTTCACACCTGTGTTTATCATAGTTTTTCTTTTTATTTTGACACTCAATGTTTACAATTGTTACAAAACTGCTACTTATTGGTTTATCCATTTTTGAGCTTTGCCTATGTAG